GTTATAAGTAAATCCCGCAAATCCCGCAATTTTGGCCGGACACTGTTAGAACTGCAGTATACAATATGTGGAAGGAGCTAAGGGCGGAGTTTGTCATCTTTGGACTATCTTTTTCCTCGCTTTCTATGCGCGGAAAAAATATAGTGGAGGCATACTTGAGTTTACTACGTGTATAGTAAGCGAATTAGAGGTATGTGGCAAGGTTTGCCGCAAAAATACAATTTTCTGGTGATGGAGTATTTTCTTGTTTGGACAGCTTGATTTATTTGAAAAAGCAGTTTACTTTTGGAACAACCCCGGCCACCGTTTCACACCGTACTTTATGTTAATCGAACCTAACGAAGCAAGAAAAATCCGAGAAGGAACACTTTCAGAAACAAATGCATACCAGAATAGGAGGGCCACGGCATCTGCAAGTGACTTCTCTAAGACGCTGAGATCGATCGAGATCTAAAAAAACAACAAATACTATCGACTACAAATTCACTATGAATGAATTAGAAGAAATGGTGTCAGCCTCTATAAGCATCTGACCATGGGTGTCAACACTAATTTTCTTAAAGCATCTGAATTGAAACCTTGTTGAAGCCAACGCTTTGCCCATTCGGAAGCGGTATCACACGACATCGGCCAGTGCGGTTCTTTCTTGCATTCTGAACACCAAACCACTCCACATTTGCAATGAACGCAGCCATACTCTGAAAAAGAGAAAAATTTAAATTTTGGTATTTCCATTGCTGGCTCTACATACCGTTGGATTGATTGATCTCAACAGCTTGATTGCATCCAGGGCACTCTCCGAGGTCGGTATCCTCGTCTAGAGACAGTTCGATCAACTCCAGAGCTGCCAGCTGGAAACAGATGCTGATTGATATCGACTTTCAAAAACAAACAAAATTCTACTAACTTTTGTGTAAAAGTTAAAAAGACGAAGAGGAAGAATGGATGGAAGAACATCGTAAGAGGTAGTTCCAGATGGGACGACCAGCTGAAAAAAGTATTATAGTCAGGAATATACCGAACTTTTGTATAAACGGCGGGCGTTTCAGATAAAATTCGAAAATTCCTCATATTGAAGGTGTACTCAACCAGTAATTCCGAATACTAGTAATGTCGAAGGGTGAATGAAAAAGTAAAAAAGAAAAAAACGAGTTTCTTAAAGGCAGCGGCTCGGCAGAATTTCGTTTTCCAGT